CCCCCCCAATTTTTGCACATGTCGAGGAGCGTGTCAGGCTACATTTCACTGTGTGTTATACTTGTATAACTATGCATGTGACAAATAAAGAACCTTGAACCTTGAACCTTGAACTGTTGAGATCGCCTATTGTTATTGTGGTTAAAAAGCATAGTGATAATAAATGTATAGACAACAACAACAAAAATTAATATCCTTAATGTTGTTAGTTAAATTACTCCATGACCTTGTGTATTCAGTGTGTTTTTTTAACAAATCAATTCAACTTGAAATAAAAGATCATGGAGGCGTTGAAGCAGTCTATAGGCAGTTCGAATAAAGTCTTCTCTTGAAAGGCAGTCTGGATGTGGGCAGTGTGTTGTACTGGCCTTTGAAAAGTTATTATTATAGATTTATCCACAAAGACCTTGATTTGAAATTTGTATTATGTTATTAAACATATCACTGCTTCTTTGTGACACATTATCATTTTCCATGAAGTTTTCATTTGAATTACTCGTAACTCTATATCTCTCTATATTGCAGCAAATTATTAAAGAATGAGGCTTTTGGTTTTCTGTGTACTGTGGCAAAATATACCTTAATAGCTTAATCAAGGAGATTAAAAAAGAAAATAGATTTTAACAAATGCAAAATCTTCAAAATACAAAAGTACAAAGAATGTTTTTGAATGATTTTTTTTTTCGTGATGTGTGATGATAAACTGTAAGATTAAACCTACTAATGTAAAGACATAAATAAATAAACACAATTTCTCATTTCTAAAGTTTGTTGAAAAGGAACCAAACTCCATAAATGAAATGTGTAGATTAAGACAGAGAAAAGTCCTGATGCCATTAGGTGTCTTTTCTTTGTTAATGAAGCCATCTGCTTATGGTCAAATAAGAAAATTAAGGAGAAGATATTAAAATAATATCTACTATTTTTAATTTGTCCTCTCATCCAGGTTTCCTGAGTACCGGTGACCAAGCAGCAAAAGGGAATTATGGCTTGTTGGATCAGATCCAGGCTTTGCGCTGGACCAGTGAGAACATTGCAGCCTTTGGCGGCGATCCATTGCGAATCACTGTGTTTGGCTCCGGAGCTGGAGCTTCCTGTGTGAACCTGCTCACGCTGTCTCACTACTCAGAGGGAAACCGCTGGAGCAACTCAACAAAAGGTAAAGCCCAAGGACTCGAGTTACAGGGATCCATGTGGGGTCTTCATACATTCTTAAGTCTCATTTCAGTAGCGTGTGACCATAAAAAAGGTTGTGATCTGCTTTTGCTGATGCTTGTTGTCATTTTGGATGCGTGTATGTTAACGTCGGAACGTGCTGAATGGAGGGTTTTTTTTCTCTGCGTTTCACTGTACTTGCAATATTCAGCTTTGACATGAAAAAAAGCAATTGATAATATACTACTATATAGAAAACAAAAGATTTTGTGCTTCATAATTTTCTGAGAATGCCCGCTCTGAGCAATTAAAAGCAGTTGTTTTACAAACAGTTAAATAAAAAAAAAAAAAATGAACAAAAACATCACATATATTCTAAACACAGGTTTCATATATGATTTTATTTAATGGGATGTTGCTCTTTATTCATACAGAGACCATTTTTTCAAAACGAAGAGACTTGGTAGTAATAATGTGTTACAACCATGTATATCTGCAGCAAAAAAAAAAAAATGTGCCTCTAACCATAAACAAAATTAGGTGATAAGATATGTAAAGGATATTGACATTACTGGGGAACAAAATATATGGAAAGAAAGAACTTGAAGCACCTCTTTCCCTAAGGTCATGTAAGCAATAAGAACGATAAGGACAGTGTTGACCAGTAGCCTGACATTGCTGTAGTTGGGATTTCTGTTTGAATCCTACACTATGTGGCAGGATAGTCATTTTGTCAGAGTATATGAAACCTGAGCTTTGAGATTTGTCTATTTCCCAGGCTAGCTGTCCACTGTAATTGTAACAAACATTTCTCAAGAAGAAGGAAATAGCGAATTTAGGAACATTCAAGTTATGTTACAGACCAATGCCTTCTGTGGATTTGTCATGCTTTATAAAGAAACAGAAATCTCATTTCAGTCACACCACTCACGTTTGACATGATAGATTGGATGATTCAGACAATCTCCATGAACTCTCATAGGTTTCTACCATTATCTATGATGGAGCTGTTTAGCTTAGCATCAATAGGGGATTCAAAATCAGCTTTGTTAACAACATTTATAAATATCTGAAGGACCCCAATATCTCACTCTGTCAACACCTTTTTATTACAGTCAGTTTGGTGATAATTATCTAAAAACTGTGATCATAAGTGTTTCACACATTTGGATGGAAATCAAAGAAAAGGGAAAGGGAAAACATGACATCCCCCATCACACTAAGTCATGAAGATTTTTCTTGCATTCAAGATGACTAACAATCACAGGATCATTAGTAAATGTTCAGATTTGTTTCTTGTCACTACTGAAAACTAACAAACCAAAGAATTTGCCAGTTTTTACATCATTAATGTTACCCTCAACCTGCAGGGCATTAATATGGGACTGACTCAACAAACCTGCATTGTACTATGTTCATGATGAAAATCAGGATGGCTGAGTTATTTTTTTCTTTTTTGCCAAAAGAAATATTGCTTTGTCTGTTCTAATAAGCAAAACTATTTTTCAGTGTATTCAGTTTGCCTCTAATATGACCTATGATCGCTGAGGTTCCGTTCCATTTTCTCAATCAGCTGATTTATCATATGATATTTTTCTTTATATGATTTTCAAAATGACATTTTATGCATCTATACTTATTTTGACATATTTTGGGATAGTCTCTGAATTGCACCTAATTAATTGTTTTCTCCATCAATGCTGCCCCTGTGCTGTTTTTGTCTTAAGGCCTGTTCCAGAGGGCCATCGCTCAGAGCGGCACAGCTCTGTCTAGCTGGGCTGTCAGTTTTCAGCCTGCCAAATATGCTCGAATGCTGGCTCGGAAGGTAGGCTGCAACCTGGAGGACACTGTGGAGCTTGTGTTGTGCCTGCAGAGAAAACATTACAAGGAGCTTGTGGATCAAGACATCCAGCCGGCCCGTTATCACATTGCCTTCGGCCCTGTTATTGATGGCGATGTTATACCTGATGACCCTCAGATTTTAATGGAACAAGGTATTCAATTTATTTTCCACCTAAATGGATGCTTTGTAATTACAATTTGTAAGTTAACCAAACTCTACTGTCTCTTGCTAGGTGAGTTCCTCAACTATGATATAATGCTGGGAGTGAACCAGGGCGAGGGCCTTAAGTTTGTCGAGCTTATCGTGGACAATGAGAATGGCGTCCAAGCTAATGACTTCGACTACGCCGTGTCCAGCTTTGTGGATGACCTTTATGGCTACCCAGAAGGCAAAGACATCCTCCGAGAGACCATCAAGTTTATGTACACTGACTGGGCTGATAGGCATAATCCAGAGACACGCCGGAAGACACTCCTAGCACTTTTCACCGATCACCAGTGGGTAGCACCAGCAGTTGCCACAGCTGACCTGCACTCCAGTTTTGGATCTCCAACCTACTTCTATGCTTTCTACCACCACTGTCAGACGGAACAGGTGAGCTTCAAACTATCACATGCCTCATCAGCTCTGAAAGTACTTTCAAGTATTATGGTACCTGGAATCTAGGAATGAACACCCGGTCTTGATTTGAATTGTATCACTGAGCAGAAGTCATTTATCAACACATGTAAACAGAACGAATTCAAGAATAATGTACAATCAAATAAAAATCACTTATTTCTTATTGCTAAAGGCAAAACAAAATGCTCCCAAATGAAACTAAAGTAATTGATTTGAACTGATAGTTTGATAGATAAGCCGACACATTGTTCACATATGTAACAACATGTGTATGATAACTTCTGCTTTACTTATGAGTCTTTCTCCATAAATAATCAGTGATGTGTAGTTGGCTAAGCAGTAGTGTCAAACCATGTTTTATATTTTAGATTCTTCCAAATAGCCACTTTACTTTGATTACTGCCTTTCACACTCTTGGCTTTCTCTTGATGAGCTTCATGAGGTAGTCACCTGAAATGTTTTTCCAATAGTTTTCCACAGGTTACAATAGATGCAGAGCACTTGTTGGCCCTTTTGCCTTCACTCTGAGGTCCATCTTGATTGGGTTTAGGTCAGGTGACTGTGGAGGCCAGTCCATCTGGCCAGGCCATTCTGGTTCAGTGTGCCTTCAATTTCGAATAAATCTCCAACAGGGTCACCAGCAAGCTTCCTCCAAGCCTCCTACAGTGGGAACCATGCATGTGGAGACCATGCGTTCACCTTTTTTGCGTCTCACAAAGACATTGTTAGTGGAACCAACGATCTCACATTTGGATTCATCAGACCAAAGCACAGATGTCCATTCCTGTTTCTTTGCCCAAACAAATCTCTGCTGCTTGTTGCTTTTCCTTAATAGCGGTTTCTTAGCAGCTATTTGACCATAAAGGCCTGATTCTCACAGTCTCCTCTGAACTGAACAGTTGACATATACATATGTATACATACATATTTGTTTGCTGGTTGCCTGGTTCTGCCAGAGGTTTCTTCCTGTTAAAAGGGAGTTTTTCCTTCCCACTGTCGCCAAAGCACTTGCTCATAGGGGGTCATATGATTGTTGGGTTTTTCTCTGTATCTTTGAAGCGCCTTGAGGCGACTTTTGGTGTGATTTGGCGCTATATAAATAAAATTGAATTGAATTGAATTGAAACTGGTTGGCTGGTTTTTTGATATTTTTTTTTACTGGTATCTTAAATCCTTACTTCTTCCTGTATTATTTGATGCAACATTTAATGTTAATGTTCAAATATGTATATAGAAAGGTAGAAGCCTGGTGATGTAAGTGCTAGACAAACTAATGAAAATAAAGAGTGCTCATTAAATTGCCCACATTCCTTATTATATTAACTTCAACTTGGTACAGCTACCATGTATATGTACTCTGTATTCCAGTTTAAACTCATCTCAAAGCAATTTTCCTCTGTCAGCATCATTCTTTTATCTTTTGTCTTCTCTCTCTCTCTCTGTTCAATTCACTGAATAATGAGCCAAAAATGGCAGGTAAATTAATATTAACAACTTATCTCATTCCCCCTTTTTTCCTCAACAACTATTCTATTTCTCCAGCCTTTTTAGTCTTGCTGTGTCTATGCATATTGTCAGAATATCCACCGTGCAAAAATAAAGTCTTTTAATGTCCTGTATCTGTCACATAAATGTAATAATACTGACGTGATTTGATTCATCTGCTGCTCATTAGGTACCACCCTGGGCAGATGCAGCACATGGAGACGAGATCCCATATGTGTTTGGCCTGCCTATGATTGGACCAACAGAGCTGTTTCCCTGCAATTTCTCCAAGAACGACGTTATGCTCAGTGCTGTGGTTATGACCTACTGGACAAACTTTGCCAAGACAGGGTATGATGACTCAATGCAGTGTTATGAATCTCATGAATCTGAACAAAACCATCACAGCTTTTTCAGTTATGAAAATGTTAAGTGCCACATCTGAAATAACTTATAGCTCATACTTAATATTTGTACTTGATCTAACCAGCACCTCTGGAAAGTTAATAATTTCACTTCGCTGTAAATGATAAATAATTTGATGTGATTATTAGTTATATGGAAATGAAATAATTCTATTGTTTGACATGATTGGTTGTGATTTTGCCAAAATACATTCTATTCATTTCCAAAAAAGGGTACATGATTGTTTACCAAGTGAGCTGGTTTACATGAAATAATCAATTAGTTTATGAGCTTATGTAGTGTTAATTATATGTTAATAAAACATATAATCACCATTAGAACATTGTGATCATTTCATAGTGAAGTTATAATTTCACTGTAATTTTGTTTCTTCAGTATGACCAGGAGTAGTGAATATGGGTTTTATGGACTGTGTTGTATAATTGGTATTCTTTGAAAATACCCACTACATATCTTCAAATACATTATTAATTGATGATCCTAGCTTGGAGAGTGACATTCTGAAAGCGACAAAATTAAAATCCTTTTTTTCTCCCTCTGTCTCATGTTGCCCTCCACTATATAGTCATGGCGGTAATTGTTTTTCTGCAGCATAATAGGGGGACATTGGCTTTTCCTGTGCACTGCCCAGTAGCCCGGAGGGGAACAAAAAGAGCACTAATGATCTACATATATAACCCCAAATTGACGTAGAATGCCGGGTACCTGAGAGATTTATGCCACCAATTTGAATGGTTAAGAGTGTTCCTGATGAGGTTTGGCTGGCTCCATATGCTGCTCTCAGACAATGGGGCGCTCACTGGGTCTGAATGGGCCTCCATAGTTCACATGGCTGGATCTGTTCTCCTCAGATTAAGTGCGAGTGGCTCTATTTAGTGCAGGATCCAAACTCAGTGCGTTGTCCTCCTCTGTACTGAATATATGAGGGGCATTCACATGGGTTACTGACCTGCAGTTACAGTTTATTTAAGCCTTGAGTTATTGAGTCAAACATTTAAAATTGAAGGCACATGACATTTAAAAAAGTAGCTATTCTAAGTGTGGTTTATAGCAACCATTGAACCATGTACTTGTTGGAAATTATCAGCATGGTTGAACTGCATATTCAACTAAACATATTCTTTGGCAGGAAGCTTCTTTTCATGTTTGAATTATATATAAATGCATTCACTTCCAAGGAGATATCCATAATTTAAAAAATAAACTAAAAACTGTGACAGGGATTTTTTTTTATGTCTCAAAATTTAAATTAGGTATCTTAAGACCTTTCCATTCAGTCAGAATCTTTAGAAAGCCCTACATCTATGAGCAATAATTTCCCTTCTGACCTTTTCTGGATCTTATCAGGTGTGATATCTTAGAAAGCGCTGATTAAAATTTGATGAAACCTGGAGGCTGCATTTCACCACTGCCTTTCAGTATTTTCATAATTATACTGATTAACCTGAGGCAAATGCTACACTTATGTCAAAATTAAAATTTGAATAGCCAAACAGCTGTGTCTTAAGAGGTCCAGTTCCCCTTTAGCCTGGTTTTAGATCTTCCTGCCCTCTAAGGTAAACAGCCAACAACATTTTTTTTTCCACTGTAAGACTCTCAGCTCGTCTCTCCTCTGTGACCTCTTTAACGGAAACTCATTCCTACTCTTTCTTCAAAGGGACCCAAACCAGCCTGTACCCCAGGACACCAAGTTCATCCACACTAAGCCCAATCGTTTTGAAGAAGTGGCATGGACACGCTACAACCAGAAAGACCAGCTTTACCTCCACATTGGCCTGAAGCCCCGGGTCAAAGAGCATTACCGTGCCAATAAGGTATAGTTAGATGTAACTCTGTCATGCAGCAGATAAGCTTTTTACTGTTTTTAAGAGAACTCCAATAGAAACTTCAGTACACTGGCTCCCTGTAGATTTAGAATTGATTTTAAGATGTTACTGATCACTTTTAAACCATGTGATGGTTTGGCTCCAAGCTAAATAGCAGATTTGTTGACCCCATATGAGCTGTCTTACTGCCTTAGAGCCTCAAGAGCTGCCATGCTGGTGATTCCAAAATCAAGATTTAAATCTCATGTTGACCATCATCTTTGGAATAATCTACCTGGGGAGAAACCGCTCATAAAATCTGTGGCTTTTTTCAAATCCCTTATAAAAACACATTTTTATAAACTTTTTTTGCTTTTTTTAATGTGATGTTTTCTATGTCTTCACAGGTTATATTTTGATAGCATTTGCATGCGTGCATGTCAATCTATCTGTAAAGAAGATAGCTTGAAATAATTCTGATATGAATTTGTAGACTGTTAAAAATGCATTAAAACTTCAAACTTAAAAAAAGTTGACTTTCTCATATATTATGATATATTTGGTCTATTTTTCTGTTTATTATGTATTTAAATTAAACTCTAATTAATTCTGTTTCTATTAACATCTTACACATTGCTCTAACTTTTTAAAAAACGGATAAATCCAGTGTATGCAATCTGGATTTATAAAAATGTATTCCAATTAATTGTTTCTTGCATTATTTTAAATTTTTCGTCTCTATAAAGATGAAATTCCTGCGTGTTTCCTCTTTATGCATCACTTGTGCCCTAGTCTTGGGTTTGTTTTTCACAAGCAGGGACATTTTCTGAATGCTTAAAATTGAACTGCAATATTGTTTCATTTTCATCCTATTGTAATTCCATACTTTAAGATGCTCTTCTGAAGATAGTTTTCATACTTGCTTGATTTTACCACCTACGCATTTCTGTCCTTTTCTCAGGTCAACTTGTGGTTGGAGCTGGTTCCTCATCTACACAGTCTCAATGAGGTCACCCAGCTCATCCCAACCACCACCAAGGTTGGTTTTAAATAGTCGATGTGTCATATCATGGCAAAAAGTGTCTATGTGAGCCATTCCCTCCACAGAAGGCTTTTTGAAAAGTTTTAAATGTAACATTGAGATTGGTTGTTGACCTAGTTTGCCTAATTTTCCGCTCAAGGGGCTCTTGTGATCTCCTACTTAGGTGATTATATATATAGACATGATAGACGAGCACATATAAACACAGAGCAGCAGTTGAAGTATATTGAGGAATGAATTTAAAGGCAATGCCAAAAGTGTTCAGTAAATGCAGCTATCAGGTGTGACAGAGAAGAATTATACATAAACATCCAGTCTGACTTCAGTTTGATACAAATTATGAGTGGATACTTGATGTACAAGGGGCTGATTCTGAAGGTTTGAGGACGTGAATGTGTGTAATATTTTTAATTTCATTTTTAAAAAACTTATTTATGTCACATTTTGATAAGTAACTTTATCAAGGTGCGATCGTGGCTCAAGAGTTGGCATTTCGTCTTATAATCGGAGGGTTGCCGGTTCAAGCCCCAGCTCGGACAGTCTCGATCGTTGTGTCCTTGGGCAAGACACTTCACCTACTGGTGTTGGCCAGAGGGGCCGATGGCGTGATATGGCAGCCTCGCTTCTGTCAGTCTGCCCCAGGGCAGCTGTGGCTACAACTGCCTCCACCAGTGTATGAATGTGAGAGTGAATGAATAGTGGAATTGTACAGTGCTTTGAGGGTCCCGAAAAGCACTATATAAATGCAATCCACTATTATTATCAAGTCAGGCAGTGGCCATATGTTTAAAGTAATTTCAGGATGTACACAATCTCACTTTGCCACGAGTTGTCAGAAATTGCTAGTTTTAGGCCACTAAAACTGAAAATAATTGGCTTTGTTTTTTTGACATCCTACTCAGAAGTGATCTGATGTCTTTAAAGACACTGTGCAATCATTCTTACAAGCACTATGTAATGATGAAGAAAAATATTTTGACTCCTGAATTTGAAAAAATAAGGCCCCAAATCAAAGTAGGTGCATATTTACTATTGATCTAATGAAATTGTATTTGACCTTCCTGCTAGAAGGAAATCTGCAAGGCTATGAAGTTGGGTTTTCTTAAAGGATTATAAAATGTCAAACAAGTAATATTTTCCTTTTCTTTCAAAATATGCTGTTAAAGTCATGTGACTCTTAGAAGCTAAATGAGTGAAATGTCAGTTTGGTGTGCACTGCAAAGTTTTGAATGATGTGAAATTCAAGCCACAGGAGACACAAATAAACAAACAAGAGTTGAGCTTTAATAGCAGATAAATAAATGTAGAATCCAAAAGTCCAGCTGGAATATAATGTAAACACAAGAAGTAATGAAAAAAACTTGGGGGACACATGTGAAACAAAGCAAGAACATGCACTAACCTCAGCAGGACTAGGTAGACAATGCAATAAAACCAAAGAGAAGGCAGGATTGCTTTCTATATTAAAGTATTTATTTATTGCAAATGAAATCATGCTTTTTTGCTCTAATAACATTGAAAGCCTATCATGGGGTATCCAATATGTAGCTTCAACTTTGTGGTACCACAAGCTAGACTATACAGTTGAACATGATCAGATGAATTAGTTATTAACCACTGGTTTTCTTGTCTTCAGATTCCTCCACCAGAGACTACTAATCGAATACCGAAGACCAAAGTTCTGGTGACCAAACGTCCTAACCCAACCCCATTCCCCACTGAGACACAGGACAGTCACAACCAACCACATCTTGTGGACCAGCGTGACTACTCCACTGAACTATCTGTAACCATTGCTGTGGGAGCATCCCTGCTTTTCCTTAATATCCTGGCTTTTGCTGCACTTTACTACAAAAAGGACAAGCGCCGGCACGATGTTCATAGACGCTGCAGCCCCCAGCGGAGTGCCGCAAATGACCTTGCCCATACTCAAGAGGAGGAAATCATGTCTCTACAGATGAAGCAGCACTCAGACCTGGACCGAGATTGCAGGGGGGTTGGCGACTCCCTGCACCCGCATGACGTGGTTCTGAGGACTGCCTGCCCACCGGACTATACTCTGGCCATGAGGCGCTCACCAGATGACATCCCGCTCATGACACCAAACACCATAACCATGATCCCCAGCACCATGGGAGGGCTCACCTCACTCCACTCTTTCAATACCTTCCCCAGCAGTGGCCAGAACAACACCCTGCCCCACCCGCACCCACACTCACACTCCACCACCCGAGTATAGCCCTGTGGATGCACCCATGCAGGCAGGACTCTGATGGCTGAGGCTAAAGCTAATGCCGCTGACGCAGCAGAGACTGAAGGCCAACTTTCTGACAAACACAAGTATGTCATGAGATGAAATGCCATCCTGGAGTTGCCAGAAACCCATGGAATTACACTGGGACTGTACGACACCCTGTTAATACCTGAGGAAATATAGTCAAGAGTTTCTGAGGGTTTGGACCAGGGAAAAAAGAATAATTATCTTTTTGTACAAAAATTTAAGACAAGAAAAAAATACATATAAAGAGCTGAAGATAAACAACCTCTAAAGCTAAAACAAAGAGGAGGATGTTTTTTTATTGTTATTATTTTTGTTCTGATATTGCAGCAAAACAAGGTACAGTAAAAATACTTTCTCTTTCTAGCAACAGATATGGCCTTCGGGATCTTTTGACAAATGACTGCTTGAGAGTATTATCTGGATACAGAAGAGAGCATCAGACACACCTTGGAGGTGAGAAGAAGGGAGCTCTTTGTAAAAGAAAGAAAGCGCGTTGTTTTCCTTCGGCATCACGCTAGAGATTACTCTGTGGGGTACAATGTAGATGCCATGCAAACCAATTTAGGCATGTCTTGACATCATAAATGGAGGCTATGTAAGATAAGGTAAAAAAGAAAAAAAACAATTGTTGAAAAGAGCAAAGGAAAGACTGAAAACTTCAAGAAAAAGAAATCCTGTATGCACAACAGAACCATTTTGAGGAGAAAAAAATCTTGCAAATACTTTTCATCCATTTATTTTTGAGGATTGGGAACAATTTTATTGTATAGAACCTATTTACATATCTAGATCTGTACACTAAGCACCGAGGCTGTTTAAGCTCTCCTCTTTTCAGAGGGGCATCCATACTGCAAACCTGCCAGTAGAACTGAACCAGTAGGAAGTGGGGATCCACCTACTGGCTTTCTGGCATTTCCAACTTCAACACAGAGAGCTGGGGGACAAAGGATAATTGGATATTTTAGCACGATGCGCATGACAATTTATCTGCTTGATGGCTGCTCTGCTGATTATGTCATTATTAAGAATCATTTTCACCCTCTCCCTTGCATTGGAGAAATTTCAGACATATTTCTTGATTGGATTACAAGAAAACACACACCCTTGCAGGACCATGGGAAATACAATTCCAGGTTATGGATGATGTGGGCTGGAGTCGGGGGTAGAAAGGGGAGGGGCTGGAAATATGGTTCAAATTTTCTTGCATAACATGATATAGCTTGAGTGGAGCTGGGCATATAAGGACTAGTTTTGTACTCCGTGTGTTGGTACTACTTTTTGATAGTGGTTAAATCACATTACACTGTATCAATCAAACTCATTGTACCTTCAGTTGAGATCAATGTTCTTTGGTATTCTACCTACTTGACCACTATACCGTATAGAAGTAATTACCTGCACTGTTTATTCCATTGCCCGGTTTTCTTTACTTTTAACTGGGAGGTGTGTTGACTGTGGTGGAGGGTGAAAGTACTGGGGGAAAAAATGGTGGGAGAGTGAATTTCTGGACCGTGTAGATTTTTTATTCATCCAATCGGGCACTGTAGAGCTCTTTAAACATGAATGCCTACACATGACTAACACAAGTCAAAGGGCAAGATGATAGGAAAAGTTAGGGTCACGGTAGGCCAATTCCCATTATGCGCATTTCATCTAGTTTTGATCATTAGCCAAGGCTGGTTGTGTTAGGAGACACATTGCGTTGGAATTATTGAATTATGTGAAGGAAGTAAAAAGGCCTCTCATAGCAGCTCTGAAGCCCACAGTCACTCCTCTTTACCTCATTTTGAAGAGCTACTTCTTTTCTTTTTTTAGCCCCACTCGTTTTCTACCAGGGATTCTCTACTGTCTCATCTTTTATACTGAGCTGACAGCTGGGCTGTTTAGCAAAGCGGCTCGTCTCACATCCGCACTGTCTTCAGTTGACCATCTACTACAATGCTGTCTGCCTTTGCTAACATCTTCAGGTCAGTGAAGCCTCAGCAGCTAACGATGTTATCCATCGGTGTAGAAATGAGTCACAGTGCAGTCGAATCCAGTTGCTTAAAAGGTTGGAGTCACTGTGGGGGTAAAGTGGTGATCTTCAAAGCAGACAGAGACATGAATATCCTAGATGGCAACTCTATTGTGCACAGATATAGAAATCTGAAAGCTGGCGCAGAGATGCTACTTGGTAAGCTGAAACGCTTTTCTCCCTGTTTTCCCTTCGCTAAAATGTAGATGTGTAGAGGCCTCTGTTGTGAGAATTCATCCTGCCCCTTTTGGCTTCCTTACAGGCACTGTGCAGTCATTCAAAATAATGAGTGCAGACTACTGTTACCCCATGTAACATTGTGGCAGACAAGCTGGATGAGGGGATAAAATCTTGTCTCTCACAGGAAATGTTGCTTTTTGGAATACGATTTAAATTGAATAAACTAATTTTATCTGTTGGCTCCAGATTGTTTCTCTGGATGAAATGAACAGCCAGTGCTTGATCTGGGATTGAAACAAAAGAAAGATTCCAAGGTTATTATCACACATCATCCTTGTGGGAATTTCAGAATCTGGGGAAAATCTGCTCTGTAGTTTTGTTGGCACTGTATCAACAAATCAAAAGCTTTCATACTTTAATACCGATAATATGTATAAGCAATCTCATACACAACCATGTGATAAGAAATTACACCTGGGCTTTCCAAGTATTTTGTTTCCCCACACAAAATGTTTTATATAGGAAAACCCTCTACTTGAACTCAAGATTTATTAGACCCATATAAAAAGCAACATGACCTTGTTTTTGTAACCCAATTGCTCAAATGCACTTCACTAGATGTGGAAAGGACTCTTGAAAGAAAATTAAATGATGACGTTGGCTGTGCAGGGATTTAGGAACATTTGTGCCTGACTATGCGCATCAGCAACAAAGTAATTCCTATTATGTAGGTTACTAATTTAAAATGTGCAAAGAGTCACATGGGGTAGGTCAGATTGCACAACGTGAGTCCAAGCAAGACAAACAAAATCAGTTTTTCTTTCTTTATATTGGTTTATTACTGTTTTCTCGCATTTGAATACCAAAACAATGTGTTTCATGATGTAAATCCAGTGGAGCACTACACTTGTTCACTTTTTTCGCTACAAACATGGCAAAAACAAAATAAGATTTTTATCTGTTAATTTTTTTGTTTGTGTTGTGTTTTGATTTTTTTTTTTGTTACAGTGAACATTTGATACTTTTATATGACACCTAAACCATTGAATTTACAATCCCCGTTGACTAGACATGACCCTCTGCATGCCTACTGCATCTATGTAAGTATACAGTGCACCCAAACATGCAGTTGCAACAAAGAAATGTCACTTTCTATGATCAATCTTCCGCACATGCTGTGGAAGATCATATCCTATGATTAATTGGGATCCAGTGTTCAATCTTTAAAATCTTTTAGCTAACTCACAACAAGTATCCAGTGGTCAACCCGTTCCAAAACAGCCATCTCAAAAGACAAAAAGCACTATGTAGTTTTGTCTTTTGTCTGGTGGAACCACAGCTTACATGACTTTCCATCACATTTTAGGATTGCATTTTACATAAATCCACGTAATATGACAAATCATTCTGCATTTTAGTCATATTGCTTTACAAAGCATCCCAAAAAACATTTCCCTTTTAAAGTTTGCAAAACTGCAGCATTAGCAGTAGGATGAAAGGCACTGAGAACGAGCAATTACAACTCTACATGAAAATATCACAGAGGTTGAGATCGTATATAGCTAGCACTTGCCAAATTCAAACGTTGCTCTCCAGAGAAATGACAAAGGGGCAAAGGCAGGGCCACCCACTGAATTAAACATATAATTGCACTGATGGGTAAATAGTCAAGCAATTGCAAGGCCATGCTAAGTGGGTGACAGCCAGGGATGAATCCTAATTAATAACTTGCCATGCATCCAATTGTCTGATTGATGATAGTTGAAAAATGTAAATCAACTGTAGCGTGAAAAAAAATGAGAGAAATGTTGGTCAGCACCTGACATATTTGGAATTATAAATGGAAATTGCTAGAAACTGCACTGAACTTAATTTATAGTGGCAGTTGCTAACACGATTTAGCCTCTGCAGTGACTACATGCAAATATAGTCCAAATTTTCTCATAAGGAAAAAGCAGTTGTGGTAGATTGCTTGAGGATGTAAAACTAGACAGGAAGACAGCAAAACTTTTTGCACGAAAAAGCAAAACGCAATGACTCAATCAGGAAATATATAAGTAAGCAAATGCATTAAATGCATTTAACAGTTTTGACAGTTGTGTGTGGAAAAACATGGTTATCAAAGCAAATTGAAAGCAAATTGGCATAATTTGTGAGAGAATTGCAGCACCGAATGACCTTTCCCTGAAGACAACTGCAGGCATTATGAATTAGAAATCTTTAAAAGATTAAATCTTGAAAGCGATGCACAAATTGAAAGTCTGATTTAAGCACCAGCTAGCTGCTGTTTCCCTTGCAATCAGGAAGATGTGAAAAAGATTTAAAATACACAGTAGCAGAAGAAGAGAATGCTGTGCCGAGCACCTCTCCGACCACAGATACGACCTCGCACCTTTACTGAGACTGAAGCAAAGTTAAGACAAAATGGTATTTGACTGATGGCATAAAACCCTATCAAAATCATATCGCACTACTCCACTTAACATACCCAAAATGTGTATTCTAGATTTGTTCATGTATTGTCTTAACAACACCAAAATTGAAGGATTCAGTAAATTTCACTAAGGCAACCTTACTGGAAGACTGATGCATTTCAAAGCAAACTAACTTGTTTTGCCTGGTGACATTTTCTCTATTAAGATTCGCAATCTTTGGGTAAGAAATGGTCCACGTCTAAAGCCGTGTCACCTTTTAAGCTGTGTGTTGAATATGCTCTGTGAAAATGTCAATATTCCTTTCTTAGTGTTTCCATTAAAATACATTTTTTATGGTTTAAGGAATATCTCAAATGCATTTCCTACCTCATAGATCATTTGCAAATAATAACTTTTGTGAATGTTGCATTTTCCATCCTGCTGTTATTCTCTTGTATCAATAGTAAAGTTTTATCAGGCGTTACCCTGTCCAGCTGTCAGTAAGCATTGCCAACCCCTGCAGCCGCCACAAATGTAGGTCATGTCTCCCTGCTCTTGACACGAATGTAAACGGTTGTGTACATATGATGGTAGGTACTAGCAGTGCTGAGACTTTATCATTTAAAAGATGCTTAACAGCACCTCTAGTGGTCATAGGTTCCACAGGGTACCTCAGAGTTGTGTTCTTCATGTTGGAAAAATCTCAGCTCACAACTAAAGTACAACTACATGTGTTTTTAAGAAAGGGCTAGCTTTTAATAGACTAGGGCTAAGAAACGTATATAATTATGAAACGTATGACTGAAACAAGGTGATAAATTTTCCCAATCAACAGAATAGCTACAGAAACCAAGTTGCCCTTCTCTTTTCATCTAATTTGTTGAAGTTTTGATTCACTGCTAAGAAGGAAAAAAGGAAAAAGAAAAAAAATCCTTCCTTTCTGATTTTAGGAAACTGGAGTAATTGACACTCATTTTTTAAACGTTACATATCCAATCCCAGAGTGCCACTGAGACTTTGCTACACATA